AGAAGAAAAAGTATATAAAAAGTCAACAAAGTTTGTTACAACTTGCAAGAGCTCAAGTGGGATTATTTTAAAGATTAAATATTTGCTAAAGATTGTGATTTAAAAAAAAATATTTGATAGAAACAAACAAAATAAGATGCCTCACAATCTTTTGTTTTAAAAATATTAGAAGTAGCTGAGCAAAAGCAAAGGTTCTATTTCTTGTTTATGAGTTGTTGGATATAATTGAACGATATCAATAAGGATTATACATGAATGATAAATATTTTTTCAATTATAATAAAAATTTAGGATGTTAGACACAGGCATGAACAATTTTAATTAGTAGCATTTTACCTCATAATATGAATTGTAGATTTGATCATTTAATTATATTGGAGAATAGAACGAAACAATAAAGAAAAATGGATGCTAAGTGTGTTGATGTGAAATACCTACGTGTTTGACTTGGTCAGACTTGGCTTCTAATGTGGTAGTTATCCCTAGTAAATCCGATTAATCCAATAAATTGAATTCTAAAAACTTTGAAAAATTGTAGTATATATATATATATATATATATATATTGTTAATTGTTCTGTGTCAAAATATTATACGGTAATATCTATCTCACAAAAAAATTGGTCTAATGGATCGATATAGTAGTTGTACAAGAGGCAAAAACCGTAGGTCCTATAAGACCGTCAAAACAAAAAGGAGAGTGAAGATTATACAAAGTAACTAGAAGTAGAATAACTAGAATGAACTATAAATATTTATGAGTTATAACAAAGTAGTACATCTAATCAAATTAAAGTCAAAGCCCATATAAAATAGGAAAAATTACACGTATAAGCAAATATATACTAGCTAATTACTTAATATAGGCTATAGTTATAGTTTGCCTCATTTAGCTATAATTATGCGATTCAACCTTTTAGTTTTGTATAATTTGCATATTTGTATAATTCAGAATTTGTATAATATGATTTGTATAACTTTTGTATAATTCGGAATTTGTATAACTGTTTACAATTCTGATGTTTGTAATTGTATAAATTCGTCATTTCGAGTTAATAAAAAAATAACTGAATTATACAAATGTACCGGCGAATTATACAAACGAGACAACTTAAACTATAGCTATAATCCGTAAATATGCAAACTATAGCTATGGAACATAATTAAGTTTATTGTAATGGCTATTTGCGAAAGTTCCTCTATAAAATAATACCCGATCACATTTTACTAATTTTACAGATAAATAATTAAGCACACATTGTTTCTAAATTTACATCCAAATTTTTAAAACTAAAATGATTTTAATTTTATCTAGCCTGGTCCATTATGTGCTAGACAAAATTAGTTCTACAAGATTTTTCAACACTTGTCATCACCTTAACTTTTTTATGAAATATATGATGTGAATATAATTTGCATATTTGTATAATTCAGAATTTGTATAATATGATTTGTATAACTTTTGTATAATTCGGAATTTGTATAACTGTTTACAATTCTGATGTTTGTAATTGTATAAATTCGTCATTTCGAATGTTATCTACTTCTGATAATTACACCAAACTATATAAATTTATCATAGTTAAGTAAGTGATAAAGTAAGTGCAAATATCATAGCCTCTATCCACACACCTATTAAGAAAATAATAATTGACACAGTGAGTTCATCATTTTACCTAGGGGTGTACATTCGGTTTTTTGGTTTGATTTTGTACTATTCGGTTTGGGCTTTTCGATTTTTGATTTTGAAGAAGTGTAACCCAATCCAAATGAAAATAAATTTTGTTTGGTTCGATTTTTCTCTTTTTGTTTTCTGATTTTTTTCTGTTTGATTATTCGGTTATGTCAATAATTAGAAACATAATCAAAATTATATTTGCAATTTGAAAATATATAAGGAGAAATAATAAAAGTGAATATCTTAAATATGCTTTCTAATATTCATCACAAGTAAAACGTAAACACAACTTAAAAAGTATATCAATTATAAATGTCCTAGCATACGGTACAAACTAAATCATAATGATACACACTATATATAATTCATTTTATTTTTTATTTTCCGGTTCTTAATTTTTAAAAATCAGAAACCAAACCAAAAAATCAAATAAAGTATTTTATTAATGCAAAACCAAACCAAAAAATCAAAGAACCAATCAAAATTAGAATTCGATTTGATTTGGTTTGATTTTTCGGAATAATCCAAATAGTGCACACCACTAATCTTACCTCTATTAATTGATAGAATTTCAAAATCAATTTATCCATTAACGAGGTTTTATCTTTTTCAAAATTAATTAATTAAATAGACAAAGAAACAAGTAAAAAAGGAAAATTGAACAAGTAAAAGGGACAGAGGGACTAATATAAACGATCAATTATCTAAAAATATTCTTTTATATATACTTATTAATTTAGTATAAACACCGAACACATGCAAGCTTATTTTTGGAAATGGTCACACAAGGTAATTGGAGAACTAATTTGGTACAAAAAGGGGGGCCATGAGTTTGTAAGATTAGAATTAGAAGCGACATTGATATGTTGAATTTTTTTGGAAATTTTTAGCAAATTGTTAAAATTTGACAGCTTTAAAGGACTAAAAACCTTATCATCTTGATTCTTGCCTTCACATAATTCCATAGATCAATATTTATTTGGAGGCAAGTAGATATTGACTTTTATGGGGTTTAGAGTAAAGTAGGTTTGGTATTTTTTTTTGAATTTCTTGATAATGGGCCATCTGGTTGTAATATTGTCCATTCATGAAATCCTTCAATCCAATTATTCTCTTTTAATAGGGCCCAATACATTTTGGGGCCCCACAATAATGACCCGTTTCATTTTCATTTCACAAAGTTGGACGGATATAATGCTACTAAAGATTATGAGTGTTTCAACTTCCAACAGATGGCGTCGGTCCATTAATTTTCGAATGATTTTTCGTTTGGAATGATAGGCGCTGGCCCTTGAATTGACGACTTCGTTTTTTATAAACCTTCGGTTCAAGAAAAGGAAAATAATAATCTCTAAAATTCTCTACTATTTAAAAATTTTCAAAAATTCCCTTTCAGATACATCACTCCCCTCTCGCTCATACATTCCTATCTCCTCTCTTGGAATTGGATACATTCCTCTCCTCTCTGTTACATCCCTTCCCTCAAGGATACATCCCTCCCCTCTCTGTTACATCCCGTCCCTCACGGCTACATCCTTCCCCTCTCGGATACATTCCTCCCCTATGTATCCGGATATTCTATCCCTTTTTGATACATCTCTCGCCTATGCATTTGGAAGTCTAGTGAGGTATCCAAATTCCATAAAGTTTAAGGGATTCTTATAATTTGAAAAATAGTACGAAAATAATGTAATTAGCTCTCAACACTATGTGATTTATGTAAATTATACAAAAATAATATTAATATTTAATAGTATTGTCAAGGAGAAGTCGGAGCAGAAAAAGTGATCTAACTAGAACCATGCTCTCCCATAGAAAAGAGAAAAATCGTTCAACTTTCTACCCTAATCCATTTTAGTTTGCTTTCTTGATTGACTATCAAAGGATAATTCATGGAGTTTTGTCCAATCTTTTTCAGTACCTAAAAGAATAGAAATATTTTAAAATCATAAGAATTATGAAACGTCATATTACATTTAAGGTTATGGAGTGAAAAAGCTACTAACATTTTAAACTTCGAGTTCGAACTTAGGACATCGTGTCATGAAGTTCGAACTCAGAAATAGTGGGTCTCTGCTACTCCTATTTTAAACAATGATATTGAAAGTGAATACTGGCGCACTTAGTCCTAAATTTCTTTTTCTAAATAAGTAAAAATAGGAGTAAAAATAATATATTTCGCTCAATATATTAAATGAACAGCGATAAAATTCTGAATAAATGTATAAATTAAAAAATTTAGATCTACGTTTGAGTCTTTAGTGCGCTATGACGACTAACCTTTGGGCAAATTTAGACTACTAACCAGACCACTCAAAACTCTGGTTAATTTTGCAAACTGAATTGGCTATTTCACTCAAATCTCAATCTGCAAATGCATATGACTCAAATGTCCTTTTAAAGGTTATTTTTAAAATTTTTTCCTAATTTAAAAAAGTTTTGCAAATATAGTCCTTGGAGAACTACTCTTTCGAACAATATTATACTCAAGTCTACTTTTCGCTCATACATTGCTCAATCTTACAAAAAATATATTAGATGATATAACTTACAAAATTTAAGACATGATTAAATGTTCTCAAAAGAAAAAATCAGTTTCTTCAGAAGGAATCGTTAGACCATAGTCTAAAAGGTTCATCAATTGAAATACAAGTAAATAAGATGTTTGCTAAACAACTATATGAAAGAGGGATAACCGGCAAAAATTTTAAGAAAATGTTTTTTGTTGTTCTTGAAGACTACAAATACGTCAACAAATCTGAGTAAATATTTCATGAGGTTATAATAGCCAAAAGACCCTTCTAATTAATATTTTCTTAAGAGGAGTATAAAAGAAAAACACGACAGATAAATCTGACACATTATCCAATTCTGGAAGATGATCAATGCAATGAATCCATTCTGGTATAAGCTTAATTCACCCCCTACATGATTGAAAAGATATTCGTTGATCTTTTTATTTTTCCCTCTATATTTAGCTATCACCATTTTTTAAGCTATGCATTTCATTAAAGCTAATGGAAATGGCACTAACTAAAAAAGGAAGTAAAATAATGTCACAATAATAGCATTGTACATAGAACATGTGCATATTCCAAATCCTCCTAAAAAAAATTACAATTGTATTATATTTGTTTGTTTATTTGAATTTCACCTCCAAAGAGAGTCATTACAACATGTTGAAGCACAAAAGTGATGAAATAATTTTGATCTTAACATTTCTTTTACTTGTCTCAAACTTATTTTGGTTAATGAGTCCAAAGAGTGTGACAAAATGTAACAAGAAAAATGTACAAATATTCGTATTAGCAGGGCAAAGCAACATGTCAGGGCGCGGTGGAATCAGTAAAAAAGTTGTTGGAGGAAATGTAACCGAAATTTGGGATGGTTTCGTGCCTAAAGAATGTAAACCAAATCATAAAATTATACGATTAAACGCAGCTCAAAAATGGGAAGAAGCACATGAGCCTCTAAATTATGGGATCGATTGTTTATCGAGTTGTGGACTTGGTCCTGGAATGGCATTTGCTAATGAAATACTTAAAAAGGATACAAATTTTGGGGTGATTGGTTTGGTACCTTGTGCTAGAGGAGGAACTGGTTTGTATAGATGGAATCGTGGATCTTATGCTTATGATGATTTAATTAAAAGAACAAAGTTAGCTTTAAAAGATGGAGGGATTATTAGGGGATTATTATGGTATCATGGTGAGGGTGATATAAGAACAAATAATGGATCAAGTTCATACAAGACCAAATTTGAGAAATTTGTTAATGATTTGCGTAATGATTTGAATTCTCCTAATCTCCCAATTTTGCTGGTAAACATCTTTCTTATTTTAATTTTTTTTGATGATATTATGTTAATTATATGATGTTTGATCAATGATTTGTGATTTTCTTAATATTGGGGGATCATGGAAAGAGAAGAGAGGAAGGGTGAGAAGTGAGAATTGAACCCACACATGTTGTGTGTGTAAGACTGTATGTTTGGTAGACTCAGTAGCTTTACCAAATACACTACATTTGTGTTAACAAAATTCACTTGATAATAATACAAGTAATATGTTCTTAATGTATTATGTAATTCCATCCTAAAACCTATAAACTTAAAATCCTGAATTCATCTTTTTGGATATTACTAGATTATAAACCATTATCCTTGGTGGTGATTTGTTTTATGATAATTTGTGTTTAACTCAACCTTTAAAGTTTGTCGAACATTTGAAAGTTCACCTTAGTATAGACTTTCTCTTTGATGCAAAAATATGACTTAAGGATTTAAGTTATATACACTTGACGTGTATCTTACTCCTATTCATGTAGTTTGTATTTTGATAGCTAGTTAATTACTTTATGAATAACTTATTTGTGCGTTAATAATTCTTCTAACGTCAATATATAGATATTAAACTCGTTTTTTTTTTTCAACAGGCCATCCTACCATACCCAAAAAAACCATTTGAAGGGCCATATATAGAAGTGGTGAGAGCAGCTCAATTGGGAATTAACATCTCAAATGTGATAAAGTTTGATGCTGAGGGACTAGAAATTGGTTCAGATGGCATTCATCTAACTACACCAGCACAAATTCAACTTGGTCATATGTTTGCTCATGCTTTTTTTAGCCTAAGCAATTTTACAACTTTTAGTTTCTACAAGTTTTTCCCTTTTAATATTTTCTCTTAGCTAGATTTTTCTGTTGATTCTTGCATAACTATGTCTTATATGAACTTCCATACCATTTTTCATATGAAAAATAAAAAATGTGTTTGTTTTTAATGTTTTTGATTTCTTATTAATGGATTGATAGTCACATTCATAAGTTGTCAATTGTTTCGTAATAGTATCCTGTTTAAATCACAAAAATAATTAAAAGACAATTGTATGGTTAGTCATAGAAATAAATCAAGCTACCAATGATATATATATACGTACTTAAGTTTAAATTTGAATCTTATTGATGTTATTTTAATCTAGAGAATAACGTCAATAACAAGTACCAATAACATAAATGTTTCAGTTGAAAGAAACAAAATTCGCCTTCTCTTTTCTTCAATTGAGAAATTTTATATGTAAGAATTAATATTTCTCAAACTTTTGATATAATCAATTATTTGAAGAAAATTTAGTGTAGGAAGCATTTTCCCACAAAACTATACAAATGTACTCAAAATTATACAAATGGACTTGCGATAATCTCCTCATGCGCGCAAAATTATTGAAGTATTTCTAAGTCAATTTTCTATTTCTAAGTCAAATAATTGCTTTGTTTCTCTCAATTCAGCAAGAAAGATAAAACTGAATATGAATGATAACTTCAAAACGTAATTAGGAAATGATACTTTTTAAAGATGATCTAGGAAAAAAATTTCTGAGATACTCAGGTCAATAAGGCCATAATTAGATATGTCAATTGAGTCGCCCGCCTCTCTCCTCTCTCATTCGCCTCTCACCCTCCCTATGTATCTGTATATCAAAATGTATATATTTGATATCAAAGATACATGTATCTAGTATTTTTGATACATGTAATCGACTTGAAATCTGAAGAAGAGGTGTATTTGACTTGAAATCTTGTACAAAATTGTTAATTAGAGAGACAATATGTAATTATTTCAAACTATAAACTACATAGTAATTTATAATAGAAATGTTTGTGTAATTAAATAACATATCCAAAAAAGATTGAACATTATCTAACAGACTATACTAGTTAAGGTTTTCATGAAGCTCTCTAAAAGAGTATAAAACATTGTAGTAACTCATTTTTAATCGATCATTCTCAAGGAATTGAGACGTTGATATTTAAAATTATGTCCTATTTATAACCTAGGTTTAGTACTTGGGGTTCATAGTCATCACGTCCAAAATAAAATGATTTAAATTGATATATAGAGAAAACTTAAGTACAAAGAAATTTCTAGAATATTGATAAGGAGAGAAAGACCATCAAGATGTCAAACCAGTGATGAGATTGTGCTATTTCATCGTACGCTACCAGAGCATGCTTTTTAGCACTATGTGGAATTTTTTTTTGTTTATTCAGTCACTTAGTTTTAGTAATAAACTCTTACTTTTTGGTCTAACTTGGACTAATCAATTAATTCAAAACTAAAGTAAGAAAAACAATATAGGCTAGACTTTTCTATATATTTTTGGTAGTTGTTCTAGTGTGCTTTGATTGACATCCACCAAACACGGCCATGAACTCCTACGATTTTCCTGGAAAGCATTAGGGGTGAAGCCTAACCCCACATTAATGGCTCACAACCATGTTTAAAGTAAATAATTAAAAAAAAACAAATATATACATATTGCTTATCAACGTTCTAAAAATCTTTATTTAATCTAATCTTTTAGCGTATCAAAAAAAATAATCTCCTCATGTTCAATAGTTTTACTTTCTAGAAGATAATAAATGCAATGAATCCATCCTATCATTATGCTTAATGTTTCCTTGGACCTGATTATAACGCTAAAAAAATAATCTCCTCATGTTCAATAGTTTTACTATCTAGAAGATAATAAATGCAATGAATCCATCCTATCATTATGCTTAATGTTTCCTTGGACCTGATTATAACGCTAAAAAAATAATCTCCTCATGTTCAATAGTTTTACTATCTAGAAGATAATAAATGCAATGAATCCATCCTATCATTATGCTTAATGTTTCCTTGGACCTGATTATAACGCTAAAAAAATAATCTCCTCATGTTCAATAGTTTTACTATCTAGAAGATAATAAATGCAATGAATCCATCCTATCATTATGCTTAATGTTTCCTTGGACCTGATTATAACGCTAAAAAAATAATCTCCTCATGTTCAATAGTTTTACTATCTAGAAGATAATAAATGCAATGAATCCATCCTATCATTATGCTTAATGTTTCCTTGGACCTGATTATAACGCTAAAAAAATAATCTCCTCATGTTCAATAGTTTTACTATCTAGAAGATAATAAATGCAATGAATCCATCCTATCATTATGCTTAATGTTTCCTTGGACCTGATTATAACGCTAAAAAAATAATCTCCTCATGTTCAATAGTTTTACTATCTAGAAGATAATAAATGCAATGAATCCATCCTATCATTATGCTTAATGTTTCCTTGGACCTGATTATAACGCTAAAAAAATAATCTCCTCATGTTCAATAGTTTTACTATCTAGAAGATAATAAATGCAATGAATCCATCCTATCATTATGCTTAATGTTTCCTTGGACCTGATTATAACGCTAAAAAAATAATCTCCTCATGTTCAATAGTTTTACTATCTAGAAGATAATAAATGCAATGAATCCATCCTATCATTATGCTTAATGTTTCCTTGGACCTGATTATAACGCTAAAAAAATAATCTCCTCATGTTCAATAGTTTTACTATCTAGAAGATAATAAATGCAATGAATCCATCCTATCATTATGCTTAATGTTTCCTTGGACCTGATTATAACGCTAAAAAAATAATCTCCTCATGTTCAATAGTTTTACTATCTAGAAGATAATAAATGCAATGAATCCATCCTATCATTATGCTTAATGTTTCCTTGGACCTGATTATAAAGATTTTGTTATCTCTTTTTCTATCTTTGGCTTTTTAAAGAAAGTATTCTGTCTATGCATTTCATTCCCTCATTATTGAAGGAAGTGATGAGATTAAGTGCACTCACTACAATAAAATAAAAAAAGGAAGTAAAATAATTTAAGAATTGCATTATACATAGAACTTGGGTATAATTACATTAATCCTCTTAAACAAAGAAAAATAGAAAATGAAAGCTACTTTCTCCTCAATAATATAAAACAAAAAAAAACACTGTTTCTTTGGGTTATTTCAAGTTTACCTCCAAAGAGAGTCACCAACAATATGTTGAAGCACAAAAATGATGAAATTATTTTGATCTTAACATTTCTTTTATTTGTCTCAAACTTATGTTGGTTAATGAGTCCAAAGAGAGTGAAGGAATGTAACACTACTAGTAATGTCAAGAAAAAAGTACAAATTTTCCTATTAGCAGGGCAAAGCAACATGGCAGGACGTGGCGGAGTCATTAAAAAAATTGTTGGAGGAAATGTTACCAAAGTTTGGAATGGATTCGTGCCTCAAGAATGTAAACCAAATCATAAAATTATACGATTAAACGTAGCTCAAAAATGGGAAGAAGCACATGAGCCTCTAAATTATGGGATCGATTGTTTAACGAGTTGTGGACTTGGTTCTGGAATGGCATTTGCTAATGAAATTCTTAAAAAAGACGCAAATTTTGGTGTAATTGGTTTAGTACCTTGTGCTAGAGGAGGAACTAGTTTGGATAAATGGAAAATTGGGACTCATCCTTATGATGAATTGGTTAAAAGAGCAAAAATTGCTGAAAAAAGTGGAGGAATTATTAGGGGGTTATTGTGGTATCATGGTGAAAGTGATGTAAAAGGAGGGAATGGATACAAAGATTATAAGATCAATTTGGAGAAATTTATTCATGATTTGCGTAGTGATTTGAATTCATCTAATCTTCCCATTTTCCAGGTAATTAGCATAACTTTATTTTATTTATTTCCTTGATGATACTACGTTGATATGAGTTTGATTTAGGTTTGTGATGTGATCATTTGGATTCTATTGAACTCATGTTTTTGGAGTTTGTGAAATATTTCAAAGTTCTATCTTATTTTTAACACGTCTCTTTAAGTGATGATTATTATAGACCAGTGGTTTGGGCTTGGGACTTCCATGTTTGGAGGTCTCAAGTTCGAAACTCCTTGCCAGCGAAAGCAAGGGGTTTGCCTTCTGGGTCGAGCTCGTCGCACCAGGTGCGGATTACCTCTCCTATGTGAGCGGGGTTTTTACCTTGTGCGCACCCAAAGGATAGCGGCTGCGAGTTTCCCTTGTCATAAAAAAAAATTTAGACCAAATAGACTAGTCCAACTCAAAAGACTAGTCGATTAGGTGATAGAGCTCCTAGTTTATTAGCATTTTAATTATGAATCTATAGCTACTCTGATCATGTTGAATTGTGTGATTGTTTTATTTAAGAGGTTAAATTAGTATATTTGTACTCACTTTATTATTTAATTTTATGTCAGGTTATCCTACCATATCCTAAAAAACCATTTAAAGGGCCATATATAAAAGAAGTGAGAGCAGCTCAATTGTCAATCAACATCTCAAATGTAATAAAGATTGATGCTAAGGGACTTGAAATAGGTCCAGATGGCATTCATCTCACAACATCAGCACAAGTTCAACTTGGTCATATGTTTGCTCATGCTTTTTTGAGCCTAAACAATTTTAAATCGTCTATTACTTATAATTTCTTTAATTTTTTCCCTTCTAATATATTTTCTTAGAACTTTTTACCAATCCTTTGTATTATTCTTTTACAAATGAACTCTGTTACCACGTTCATAAATCATAAATGTTATATCTACCAAACGTTTTGCTATATTCCAAGTTTTTTATTTTATTTTCCTTTTCTATTTGTATATGCTGATTAGCATTAGTAGTTCTAAAAGAGAATTTATCGTTACATAGAGTTCTTCTTTTGATAAACCGTAACAAATTTGAATTCCTTACTTTATATTAATAAGAGAAGGGAAAAGGGTCAAATATGCCCCTAAACTATTCGAAAAGGTCTAGATATACCCCCGTTTAAAGTTTGCCTCACTCATGCCCTCGCTGTCCAACTTTTCGTCTAGATATGCCCTTATGGGCGTTAAATGCCAAATGGAATTGGCACGTCATTTTTACATTACCACGTGGCATTTATATTTAAGGGAAAAGGGTCAAATATACCCCTAAACTATTCGAAAAGGACTAGATATACCCCTTTTAAATAAACTACCCGGCCCATTTTCAACAATTTTTTTTTAAAAATTATTTTTTTTCGGTAAATCCCGAAAATGAGTAATTGACTAATAAAAAATAGGAAAATTATGAAGAAACAAAAAATTAACGCCAAAAATTCGCAAATAAATATAGTAACCATAAATTCAACAATTTCAACAATTTTTTTAAATTTTTATTTTTTTCAATAAATCACGAAAATGAGTAATTGATTAATAAAAAATATGAAAAATATAACCTAAAAATTCAGCATAAAGTCATTTTAATATTTTTCATATTTTTTATTAATCAATTACTCATTTT